GTATTTATTCAACCAGGGATAGCCAGGAGGGGGGGGGGGGCTGTTAGGAAGTCTTAGGCTGATCCTTGTTCTTCCTCTCTCTCTTCTTCTTCCTCTCTCTCTCTTCTTCCTCTCTCTCTTCTTCTTCCTCTCTCTCTCTCTTCTTTCTCTCTCTCTCTCTCTCTTCTTCTCTCTCTCTCTTCTTCTTCTCTCTCTCTCTTCTTCTTCCTCTCTCTCTCTCTTCTTTCTCTCTCTCTCTCTCTCTTCTTCCTCTCTCTCTTCTTCTTCCTCTCTCTCTCTCTTCTTTCTCTCTCTCTTCTTCTTCTCTCTCTCTCTCTCTTCTTCTCTCTCTCTCTCTCTCTTCTTCCTCTCTCTCTTCTTCTTCCTCTCTCTCTCTCTCTTCTCTCTCTCTTCTTCTTCCTCTCTCTCTCTTCTTCTTCCTCTCTCTCTCTCTCTTCTTCCTCTCTCTCTCTCTCTTCTTCTTCCTCTCTCTCTCTCTTCTTCTTCCTCTTTCTCTCTCTTCTTCTTCCTCTCTCTCTTTTCTTCTCTGTCTCTTTGTCTTTCTCTCTCTCTCTCTCCTTTTTATGCTTCTATTCTTTTCTTCCTTTTGGTTTCATCTCCTTTATTCCTCTCTCTCTCTCTCTCTCCATTTCTCTCTTTCTTTTGTTTTTCATTTCCTCTGTTTCTCCCTCTCTCTCTCTCTCTGCTTTATATTCATTTTCCCTTCTCTCTGTCCCTTTTTATTTCTTTCATTCCCTCTTTTCCTTCTTTCTTTTGCTTCCACCCTCTTGCTATCTCCCTTTTCTTTCTTTCTCTCTCTCTCTTATTCTCCCTTTCTCTCTCTCTCTTTCTATTTTTTAATTTTTATTTATTTTTATTTATTATTTTACTTCTTCATGCCCTTTATTTCCCTTTCTCTGTCTCCATTTTATTCATCTCCCTCTATTCCTTTCTTTTTGTCTTTATTCCCTCTTCTCTTACTTCTTTCTCTTATTCTTTCTTTATTCATCTCATTTTTTAATTTTCTCTCTCTGTCTCTTCCTCCACATTTCTCTTTCCCTCTTTCTTTATACATCTCATTTCTGTTATGTTTTTATTTTCTCTCTCTCTCTCTCACTCTTCTTCCTCCCCATTTCTCTGTCTCTCTTTCTTATTTGTGTTCCTTTTCCCTTTCTTTATTGGATTTTCATTCTCTTTCTCCTTTCACTTTGTCCCTCTGTCTTTCTTCTTTTCTTTCTTTTTCTCTTTTTTCTTTCTCTCCGTCTCTTTCTTTCGTTCGTTCTCTCTCCTTTCCTTTTATTTTATTTTCTCTCTGTTCCTACTTTTCGTTCTCTCTTGATCACCCGTTCTTTTTATTCTCTTCATTTATTATTCATTTCTCCTTCATATTTATTTCTCTTCATTTTTTTTTTTTAATTCACTTCCTTTTCTCTTGATATCTCTCTCTCTTCTTCTTTCTCCTTCTGTTTCTCAAGCTATCTGTTCTTGTCTCATTCTCTCTCTCCCTCTCTGTTTGTCATTCCATCTCTCTCTCTCTCTCTGTTTGTCTCTATCTCCCACTTTCTCTATCTCTCACTCTCTCTTTCTTTCTCCCATTTCCTTCCTTTCTTCTCCCCCCCCTCTCTCTCTCTTTCCCTCCTCTCCCTTTCTCTTTCCCTCTCTCTCTCTCTCTCTTCATCTCTCTCTCTCTCCCCCTAAGGAAGGAAAAAAAAAGACACCATATTTTTCGCGTTCTTTATTCCCTTAAACCTACGAGTGACATTAAAATAAAATAAAAAAAAAATATGAAAAGAAGGAAAATTAATAATAGTCAATAATAATCTTGAATTATCATTATTTTCTCTCATCTTTTGCTTATCAAATTTTTCACATAGGGAAAAATTTGTCTAGATTTTGTTTTTTAGCAAATTACAGTTATTTTTTTAAATATTTTTTTTTTACATGTAAGAACCTTCACAAATAGTATAATAGTCTTAGTGTTTTTTGTTTTTTTTCATCAAAATAATATACATAAATATATTTCATATTCATTTTATTTACAATTTTCCTCATGAAAAGTCGCACATATTTTATATATTTTTTATAAGGCAACATTTTACATATATATATATATATATATATATATATATATATATATATATATATATATATATATATATATATATATATATATATATACATCATATACATACATATAAATATACATATATATATACATACATATACATACATATACATATATATATATATATATATATATATATATATATATATATATATATATATATATATATATATATATATATATATATATATATATATATATATATAACTATTATTGTTTCTCTATTTGCAAAGGTTTACATGTAAAGAACTTGTGTTAATCAATGAAACAATAGCCAGCAAGAGAAAGTGAAAGCAAGCGAGCGAGAAATGGAGGGGAAGAGAGACAGAGAGAGAGAGAGAGAGAGAGAGAGAGAGAGAGAGAGAGAGAGAGAGAGAGAGAGAGAGCGAGAGAGAGAGAGAGAGAGAGAGAGAGAGAGAGAGAGAGAGAGAGAGGAGAGAGAGAGAAATAGAGAGATCGAAAGAAAGAGAAAGAGAAAGAGAGAATGAGGAAGAGAGAGAAAGAGACAGACAGACAGACAGATAAACAATTGGCTATTTCACAATCGAAAGCTAATTTGCATAATCTCATGAAGTGTTTCATCCTAAATTTATGAAAGAAATTTACATCTATACATATACATACATACATACATAAACATACACACACACACGCGCGCACACACACACACATACATGCATATATATATATACACATATATGAATATATCATATATGTATGTATATGCAAATATATGCAAAATCCTTTTCAATATGTGCTTATAAAGCCAGTGAGTATTAAATTTAATCATTATTATATAATTTTTTGCAATAATCAGATTAATATTAATTATATTATCATATATTATAATAATTATAATAATCATTAATAATATTAATTATAATATTATTATATATTATAATAATTATAATAATCATTAATAATATCAATTATAATATTATTATATATTATAATAATTATAATAATCGTTAATCTCATTACTGATTCATTATAATTAGAAACAAACAAACAAAAAAAAAGATCATTTTTTCCTATATTCTATTTTATTTTTCTATCATTGGATTTCCTTTTTTTTTTTTTCTTTTTTCCTTCTGTTTCTTTGGCTAGACAATACTTATCGTACGAGACATATACATATCTATATACGTATACGAATATAAGTATATAGATATAGATATATATATATACGTATAGATATATCTATATATCGTAAACTTGTGATACATCTATGACAGAACGTTCTAGAAAACAATAATAATTAAAGAAAGAAAGAAAGAAAAAAAGATGTTTCCTATTTCCTTTTCCTTTTTTTTATTTCTTCTTCTTTTTCTTCTTCTTCTTTTGTGTTGCTCTTCTCCTTATTACTATCTTTCATCTACGCAAGTTTTTTTTTAATTTTTTTTTTATTTTTATTTTATTTTTTTTTCTTAGCCTCAAAATGTACTTATGAAATTACTCAGTAATTATCATGTTTTTTCTACACAGATACAAGGCAAATGCTACAATATATATATATATATATATATATATATATATATATATATATATATATATATGTATATATACATTATATATATACATATATATACATACATACATATATATATATACATATATATATATATATATATATATATATATATATATATATATATATATATATATATATATATATACTTATATACATATCTTAAACATAAAACGACATATATTACAAAATCACAAACAAGAGAAAAGATACAAAAAAACAAAAAACAAAAAACAAAAAACAAAAAACAAAACAAAAAAAAAAAAACAGACAAAAAAATGCATATTCGGTGGAAATTAAAAGACAGCAACATTAATCTTTGGCTTAAGTAGAAAAACGAGAGAAAAGAGATTAAAGGAAAAGGGGAAAAAATATATATATATCCAAATATTTTTTTAAAAAAGTTGATGATAATGAATTCATCATAAACTTGTGATTCAAAACTGCTAATAATCATTACGAAGAAAAAAACCCATATAATTTCTCTCAAGTATATATACATATATATATATATATATATATATATGCATATATGTATATACACACACACAATATTTGATATTCCTGTAGTTTAAAAGCTAAGTCAAAAGCTATTTATTTACTAAACACATTTATATTCAAATGACTAAACATACATACATATACATATATATGCACACAAACATATATATACATATATATATGTATATATACACGCATATATATATGTATATACACATATATATACAAACATATATATACATAAATATATTCAAATGTATATATATATATACGTATATATATATATATATATATACACATAAATATATTTAAATGTATGTATGTACATATATTACTGGCAGTTTCATATTGCTGAATAAAGCATAAAATGTGTATTGCTAAATATGTACACACTGGAACGCGTACATATGTATGTACAAACAAGTACACACAGATCCTCTATATACAATTCTTATGCATAACTATCATCATTATTATCTGTGTTCTTTTTAATTATTCTTTTAATTGCGGAAATGATAATAATAATAATAATAATAATAATGATAATGATAGTTTATCAATTTAATCTCTCTTCGTTTTTATTGTTCCATTTCCTTCTCTCTCTTTTATCTGTTTTTTCCTCTTTTACTCTTTTCCATTTTGTTTTTTTTCTGTGTCTTTATCCAACTCTTCATCTTTTTTCTCTTTCTTTCTCATTCTTTTTCCCTTATTTCGTCTTTAATCTCTTGTCTCTCTTCTTCCCTTTCTTTATCATCTTTTCTCTCTTCGTCCTATTTCAACTTTTTTTCTTCATCTTCTTGTCTTTCTCTCTTTTATTCTCTTCTTTATCTTCTGTTCTCTCCTTCTTCCTTTCTTTATCCTCCTTCCTTTCTTCACCTCATTCCTCCTTCATCTTTCTTCTTCTCTCTTCCCTCCTTTATCATCTTGTCTCTCTTCTTCCCTCTTCTTATCGTCTTGGCTCTTTTCTTCTTCTCTTTATCTTCTTCTCTCTCTTCTTCCTCTCTTGCCTTTCTCCCCTCTTTATCCTCGTCTCTCTCCCTTACTCCAATCTTTATCCTTGTCTCTCTCTTTTCCTCCTCTCCACTTCCTCTTTATCCTCCTTGTCTCTCTCCCTTACTCCTATCTTTCTTCCTCCTATCTCTTTCTTCCTCCTTTCTTCCTCCTCTATCTTTTTCCAGCTTCCTCCTCTCCACTTCCTCTTCCTCCTCGTCCCTCTCTTACTCCCCTCTTTATCTTCCTCCTCTCCACTTCCTCTTCCTCCTGGTCTCTCTCTTACTCCCCTCTTTATCTTCCTCCTCTCCACTTCCTCTTCCTCCTGGTCTCTCTCTTACTCCCCTCTTTATCTTCCTCCTCTCCACTTCCTCTTCCTCCTCGTCTCTCTCTTACTCCCCTCTTTATCTTCCTCCTCTCCACTTCCTCTTCCTCCTCCTCGTCTCTCTCCCTTACTCCCCTCTTTATCTTCCTCCTCTCCACTTCCTCTTCCTCCCCGTCTCCCCCTTAGTCCCTCCCCCAGGCAGCCGCGAGAACCAGCGCCAGCACGATGACCCAGCTAGCCGAGGTCACCGCGTTCGACCCCGACACAGTGACGTCTCTGTTGACCATGAGCACGCCGTCGATCACGTGCACGATGCCGTTCACGCACTCCACGTCCGGACGGATGACCTTGGCGCGGATGCCGTTCCATTCCACGTAGTATTCTGCCGGGGTGGGGGGGGAGGTCAGAGGTCAGAGGTCATGTAAGTGAATAATAAATTAATAATAATATATAAATGAATAGAATGATAGATAATAGATGATAGATAATGAATAATAATAATAATAAATAATGATAATTAAGAATAATGAAGAGGTAGAGAGGAACAGAAGGGGTGATAAAGATTAGAAACAGGGAGATAATAGATAATGATGATAGATACTAATAATTAAAGATAATTAAAGTAGAAATGACAGATTGAGAGACAAAGAAGGAGGTATAGAGTAAGGGGTGATAAAGATAAGACTTACAGAGATAATAAATAATGATAAGGATAATGGAGATAAAAATAATAGATAAATATATTCCGATTTATATTAAAATTAATAAAAATATACTACATTATCCTAAATTATATAAAATATTCAAAATATATCATGTTATCTTAAAATATATCATGCATATTTAAAATAACATTATATAGGAGAAAGAGAGAAAGAGAGAGAGAGAGAGAGAGAGAGAGAGAGAGAGAGAGAGAGAGAGAGAGAGAGAGAGAGGGAGAGAGAGAGGGAGAGAGAAAGAGAGAGAGAGAGAGAGAGAGAGAGAGAGAGAGAGAGAGAGAGAGAGAGAGAGAGAGAGAGAGAGAGAGAGAGAGAAAGAAAGAGAGAGAGACATACATACATATACATATATATATATATACAAACACATACCATGCACTACAAAAGCACATATATCAGTGCAGATCACAATGCAATAAAAAGTTGCA